ATTATGTATAGATTGTACATATAAACATTTATATATTTACATAAGAACAATTTTTACCAGGCATCACCGGAAATGTCAGCATTGACGGCAACGGAGACAGAAATGTCGATTTTTCGCTTCTGGACATGGATCCAGAAACTGGCGACTTTCAGGTAAACTTTTACTCTTCTGATTCTGAACCACACATCGATTTTTCGCTTCTGGATATAGATCCAGAAACTGGCGACTTTCACGTAAACTTCTACTCTTCTGATTGTGCAGCACACGTCGATTTTTCACTTCTGTACATGGATCCAGAAACTGGCGACTTTCAGGTAAACTTCTACTCTTCTGATTGTGCAACACACGTAGATTTTTCGCTTCTGGACATGGATCCAGAAACTGGCGACTTTCTGATTGTGCAACAAACTGCTGTTCTAGATAGTATATATTTTGAAGGTGTCCCCCGGGGGAATAGCCATAAGCTTACGGACTGACGACGCTAAAATCTCTGGGTTCGTTTTTTTGCGGTGGACACAGCAGATAGTTCAATGTGGCTTTGCTCTGAAACAAACAGACAGACAGACTTTTGAATGTTTCAAACATTATCAGTAATTAAAAGGTTGATCTCAAATCTTTCATTCACATTTTTAGAAACAAGCAGAAGCAAGTAATTTATGGAATATTTGTTCCAAAAAAAAAGAACCAACTTTTTTTAAACTATCATGAGTATGTTATGAAATATTGACCTATTAATATTTTATTTGAAAGTTAGGTTTCAAGATTCGTGCATTAAAACACTTTACAGAAAACTAGTGAAATGTATTACATGACGCAAAAACGTGACATTGAAACCACTTAGTTTTAAAGAAGTATTTATCTAAGATTCCATGCCCTCTTGAATCTTCTGAAATGTTCCTGAAAAAATAAAGTTACTCCACTTTCACCATTGAGCCAGGAACAGTTAAAGAATTGCTAGCTACTTCGTGCTAAGGATTGTGGACAAACGGTTGATGTTTACTATTTTCTGACAAATGTTACCGATAACTCTGATAACATACAAATACTTCCTTAGCCATTTTATGTTGTGTTACGCTAATTTAATTTCACGGAAATGAAGATTCAGATTGTTAAATGTTATGCAAAATTTTCAAGACACGTTTTTTTACGTTGAGATCTGGAATAAAACTCTCTAAACAGATCTTAGAAATATCTAGAGATATTAAGAAAAATGTCAAGAAAGATATAATAGAAATACGAATAATTGTTGTTAATTGAAATCTCAGACTGACGTTATAACTTACAAAAATTATGTTAAAACTAGTCTTGTATGAAATATTCATTGTTTTCTACAAAGATCCTTGAAGAATTCAACTGCCTTAGCACTATTTCTTCTGTGTGTTCTAATGCTCTTACTTCTAGTTTTTTTTACGTGAATATTATCTTATGATATCCAAACTAAATTATATGGGCGAAAACTAAGTTGTTTTTTCCTCAAAACATTAGGAATTTCCACATTATCTGTTAATGTTGGAATTTTATGAAAAGTATTGTAAGGATCCAAATTATATTCACCGATTATAGAACATTATTTATATGATAATGTAGTTTTTATGAATAGAACATATTGATGTAAAATTTATCAATAGAAATACTAATGAGAAATACGCTCCGATGGCTCAGCTGCAAGCTTGAGGGCTTATAACGCTAGAAATAGGGTTTTAATACACACAGTGAACAAAGCAAAGATAACCCACTTAACGATAAATAAACAGACCCACCATGACCGAATATACTTGCCCTTTAAGCCGGTGGGGATGTTTTAACGTTACTTACAATCTTACTATTCGTAGGTAGCTCAAGAGCTGGCGGTAGGTGGTGTTGACTAGCTACCTTCCCTCTAGTCTATTACTGCTAAATTAAGAACGGCTAGCGCAGATAGCCCTCGTGTAGCTTTGCGCGAAATTCGAAACCAACCAACCAATAAAATACAGTTTATTTAATACTTTATTTTTAACATTGATGGTAGAATTTTATTTTATTATGTTTTTAATAAAGAATTAAACGGGGCGCGGTCTTCACGTACTCTCCACTTTAAGGCCATGAGTGCGTTATAAGAGTGGCTGTCAAATTCCACTACTCCACCAGACAAGAATATCACAAGCTTTGGCAATGAATGCTGTTGATTAGCTGCTTTCTCTTGGTGGCAACTTTGCACAAACATTCTGTTTGTTTATTTGCTTTGAATTTCGCGCAGAGCTAGACGAGGATTATCTGCGTTAGCCTTTCCTAATTTAACAGTGAAAGACTAGAGGGAAGTCAGTCATTACTATCCACCGCCAACTCTAGGGCTACATTTTTATCAACGAATAGTGTGACTGACCGTCATATTAGAACGCCCCCACGGCTGAAAGAGCGAGCATATTTGGTGTGACGGGATTGCGAGTTGAGCGCGCTAACCACCCGGCCATGTCGGGCCCAAGCATTCTGAAAAAAAAAGCAACTATAAAGACTTATTCATAAATAATCTACTATATTTTACATGTTAATTTTATTCTTTGATTTAAAAATAATTACATTTTGATGTTTAGAAATAAATCAGTAAAAACTAGAAAAGTTTGGCGAAAACATGAATTTAAAAAAAAGAATATTAATAAGAAAACATTATAATATCATTTTAAGTCCGTAACGAAGTATTTCTTGTGATGATACGTTGGTCATCAGAATACGTACAGTGACCTCTCAACAATGTCATGATGTTTGTTTGTTTGTATTTATTACGAGTAATTGATATAGAATTATGTAATTAATATTTAAACAGGTTGTTGCTAACTACTACGGTGTGACCAAAAAATTTGAAACAGTCCCAGGAAGAAAGATTCACTGGGCAGGAGGCCGAAAGGACCCGCCGCCCGACATTCCCCCTTGCGGATTCGACGGAAGTAAATGCCCAAACGGTAAAGAAAATGTTTCTAATAATTGAAATAATTTACTTTATATTATATACGTAAAATGTTTTATTTTTTTAGTTGTATTCATAATATAAAAACGCGCGTAAAATTCTGGACTGATCAAAAGTGACAAAATTTGTAAGGTATAGAATCCAGGATAAAAGGATTGATACTAAGATACAGGAATTTAAACATAGTTAAGATCGGACTGTTCTTAGGGAGTAGAATACCACATAACTTACGCATTGTGTAGTTTTTGCGCTTAGAAACGAAACAATTAAATAAATTTATAGTTTAACTAAAATTGTGCCGACTTTTCTATGCTAATCTGATCTTAAAAGCTCCAAAAATAGTTAACACTTTCTAAACTCGTACTGTGATTATCTTATTTTTGGAAAGATGACTTAAATTTACGTCTGGAAACTCTTGCCATGGGTCATCTTTAAAATTCTTATTATTCAGTAAAACGTTGTTTCACACGTAGTTGTGTGTATATATATATGAAACCCTTTTTGTATTATAAGTACCACACCTGAAAAAAAACAGACCGATGTTCTTTCTGTCGAAATATATAGTGTGCTCCCCAAAATAAAACCCTTCTTTATGCTTATAAGTCGGTGTTTCTCAATTTGCTATCATGTTAACATAATGTGCTTACATACACAACTAACGACGACATCATCAAAACTTGTACAAATCGAAACAAAGAATACGTTAGTCTAAGTCATTTCTAAATGTTTTTTTTTCCATTTTCTTACTGGGAATCTTTTCCATTTGTGGTATTATTTCCGTTTCCTATTTTTCAGAAGAAGTTTCGAAGTATGCTGTTGTTAGTGGACTTCTGATGGTTTTCCTTATCGTCCTATCTATTATCTCTTTCTTCATTTACAGGTTTGTGGTTAGATCATGTAGCAGTATTTATTTTGCAATAGTCTGAATCATGAAGCCAGTATACGTGTAACGATAGGTTGGATTACTAAGCTAAGATTTATGTAATATTAGATTAGATCATGTAGCAATATTTATATAGCAATAGTCTGAATCATGAAGCCAGTATATGTGTAACGATAGTTTGGATTACTAAGACAATATTTATGTAACATTAAATTAGATCATGTAGCAGTATTTATATAGCAATAGTCTGAATCATGACGTCAGTATATGTGTAACGATAATTTGGATTACTAAGCCAATGTTTATGTAATATTAGATTAGATCATGTATCTGCTTAAAAATAGGTTATATCTCGATAGTTTCTACCTGCTCTGTAAGTTTAATTCTTTGTATATCCTTCTGAAGCCGATGGTATATACACACACATATTTCAATTATCGTTTGGTAATGATATAAAAGTTAGTTTTTCAAAACGTATTTTATTAATTGCTATTAAAAATATTGTATTTTTTTTTCTCAAGACATTTTAAGCGGGAGGCAGAGCTCGTTTCGATGACATGGAAAATTAAATGGGAAGAAATAACAACAACCTCATCTAAGAACAAACGCCTGGGATCTAAGACGAGTATGGAAAAACCCAGTCATTACGTAAGAAACAAATAATTTTCTAACTATAAACTTTTCCTGGCAAAAACTTTTTATCTTAAACAGTTTTTAATTATGACTGCTACATTTAATTGCAATTGTTTTACTGGTTTCCTGTAAGTTTGAAAGCATCATTATTGATAACATTTTTTTCGAACCTACGTATTTGATCTCCTGTTCTTGATAGATGAACCTACTTATAAAACATTGTAAATTCGACACTGACTTTAAAACCTTTAAATACTACATTGGACTGTATTATATTTTAATAGAATTAACAATATTATCTTCGTGAACATTTGACAGCAATGTATGAGAACACTAAAACATATATTGGGGACACATATTATATGTTGTACTTGCGGTTTAAATAGTAGGGTTATTGCGAGATAACCTAAGTGTTTGCAGAATTTAGCATGAGTATTACCTGCAGTGCATAAACCGTTTTATGTAGATAATCGCGTAATGAAAAGTTATCGTGTCAAACAATGCAGTAAAGTGCAGTGAACTGTTTTTTTTGTTGTTGTTGAATGATGTGGATCTATTTATTATCTATGAACAGCATTGCAGAGAATATTCGTGATGATCGGTCCAGCAGTGCTTATACTATTGCAAATGTAATAATTATTGATTTCTCATGACATGTAAAAATGGCTTTGATGGTCTCTTCAAAGCAATAGAACATTAACTAATCAAGGTACTAATTTCATTTAACATGATCTATGTATTTTTAAGAGAGAATTCCAAGGTTTGCGCGACAGTAGGTTAGAAACAACGATTTTTTCAATGAGATAGTTTGAGTTAATTATATAGAATCGATATTTCAATATATATATATAGATCAAAGTTAAAAGAAGCACGAAATTTAGCACTACTGTATGATTAAAACATCGATAACAATACCAGTAATAAACAAAATAATACCAAAATCTGTCTTATGCGTTCGGGATATATTTCGTATTAAAGCTGTAATATTATAATCCATATATAAATCTTGAGCATGAGAATCACTATTTAGCATCTGTGTTAGCAATCAGTATGAAAAGTACTTTATACTTTTTGTGATAATAATGACGTTCAGTAACAATTATCAATATGTAGAAAGATGCTATTCCTAGGACTTAATTGACTATAATGATTAAAATTTTACTGCCTTTCTTTAAAATTCAATAAAACCATGGGTGACGAAAAGGTATATATATATATATTTTTTTCCTATTCACTCCTAGATCCCCAGCCTCACATTTCACTACACACACGTGCACATTCTGAACAAACTAATATTTGCTAATGATACATTGCATAGGTTCAAGAAATGTGTTCATGAATGTCAAAAGTGACATGGTTTCCACAGCAACTAATTAACGTGTTCTTTGTTATTGAAATAAAAAGAGCATAGACACGACATTTCATGTATCTTAAAATTAAGTAGATAGACATAACTTTAATAGTACACTAAAAGATCCTGTAAAGCAAAACCTTACTTTATTATTTCCTTATATAAACTACCTTCCAATGGAAATAACTTTCACAACAAGTTAGGCTTCCGCATTTACTTGCTTAACCACTTAAAAGGAATGAAATATAAGAATAGCTGTTCATATATATGAAATAAATAGCTTCAATACTATTAATTACAATAATTGTTAATAGGCGATTAAAATCAGCTTTATTAAACAATAATGAACTTAATATAAAATAAGCATTAAGAAGTTTTGAGCAAAATCCATTGTTAATTCCAGTCGTCACCTCGGAGTCATAACGGATAATGCTGTTATAACTCCGATTATGGCGGAGTTATAATGTGAACTCCGCTATTCATTGGTAAAAAAGTAGCTCAATAGATGGCAGTGGGTGATGTTGACTAGCTGCCTTCCCTCTAGTCTATCACAACTAAATTAAGGACGGTTAGCGAGTAGCTTTGCGCGAACTTCAACAAGACAAACAAACTTTCAGTAGGTTGAGGCAGAGTTTATTTATTTATGATAAATTCTGTATTTAATACCATAACGAAGTATTTCTTGTGATGATATGTTGGTTATCAGGATACATACAGTGATCCCCTCTACAATGTCATAATGTTTGTTTGTTTGTTTGTAATTAAGCATAAAGCTACACAATGAGCTATCTGTGCTCTGCCCACCACGGGTATCGAAACTCGGATTCTAGCGTTGTAAGTCCGCAGACATACCGCTGTGCCACTAGGGGGCACAATGTCATGTTTGTTTGTTTGTTTTGGATTTCGCACGAAGCTACACGAGGGCTAGCCGTCCCTAATTTAGCAGTGTAAGACAAGAGGGAAGGTAGCTAGTCATCACCACCTACCGCCAACTCTTGGGCTACTCTTTTACCAGCGAATAGTGGGATTGACCGTCACTTATAACGCCCCCACGGCTGAAAGGGCGAGCGGATTGCGAGTCGAGCGCCCAAACCACTATTCAATTGCGTGTATTTCAATGATAATTTGTAATTAAAGCTTCGATTGTATCTGCATTTCAGAATTGATTAATATTTACTACAGGACAGTTTATACTGTTATACTGTTTGCAATTTTTTTTTTTAAATTTTAAGTTATTTGAGGGATATTCAAGCCAAAGTACAAAATACATTTTTGAACTTATGAGAAAATACGTGTTTTAAAGTAAGACATCTTTAACTTCTTTTTTTTTTTTTACAGATTTAGATCCTGAATATTTCTGTATGTCTATAATGATGCGCATAACAAAATCTATTATACATACACTACCTAGGCATGTGAATAATATATTTGGATTTCGTATATAAGTGTTGATGATGTAACTAATTCTTATTATGTTAAATGAAGGCTATATGGTTGTAAGTTTTTTTATTAATGTTTCCTTCAACTTATTTCTCAATGTAAGGTTATTGTTTTCAGCATCGAGGATTACGAGTAACGTTTTGATCCACTCATGAATTATTTATTTAGCCATTTTTAACTACTAACTATTGGGACATATGAGCAGTGTACTATTGATACTATATATTCACAGCCATTGAAGATGCGGTGAATACTCATTTCAGAACCATCTTCTCTTTTGCAAGTGTTGAATACCACGAGAAACTATCCTCCTATTGGTTAATTTAGATACTATTACTCAATGTTACATTGTTCAGCTACACTACAATATTTTCCCTCTAAGTAAAGGTAAACATATTGAGGAAATAGTCCACAAAAGTTTGCGAACACCAGCTAAACTGTTTTTCACTGCAATCTCGAAAGAGATTCTGAATCTTTGGCCATTTTGTCTCCAATAAAAGAGCATTATTATCGATTAAAGTACAGTGCAGGTGCAAGTTGAAGGATACAGTTTCGTTACCATTTCTACGCATCTGGTATAAAATATAGACTATTAAATCTTTGTATCAGCGTTTAAAAGTACAGTATATTTCAATACAATCAGTAAAGTTGTTCATGACCAAACGTAAGCTACAGCTTTGATGACCTTACAAAATAGTCTTTCAGTTCGTAATCAGTGCTACGCGTTCTTTTATATAAAAAAGAAATATATAATAGGTTTGCTATTTTATTCATGATTTCAGGAAACTAATAACTGACTTAGATAAAATATTTCTTTAGAAGGCTTTATGAGACAATGAAGGCAAAAACAGATGTAGAGGTCCGTATATTTGTCACTTTCAGTTATAAAAAAAACAGTACTTTCTAATTGTGGCGTCTATTTAAAGAAATTTTCCTTTAAAATATTACAGCTAGTTGTGAATCCGAAAGAGACATAAATGGAAAAAAAATCAGAAATAATTACAAATGTTTAAAAAGGAAATTCATGGGATGATGTTCAGAGGTCCACGTGTAATATAATTGCAGTTAGATTTATTTCTGTGATCCCAGTAAGAGTTTTACCTTTCAAATTTTGCCCTCCTGTTGCACAGCGGTGTATCTGCGGTTTTAGAACGCTAGAATCCGGATTTCGATACCCGTGGTTGGCAGAGCACAGATAGCCCATTTGTGCTTAACTACAAACAAACCTTTCAAATTTTAAAAACGTACAACGTGAGTAAACATTAGAAACAAATATGTTAAAATATTCATATCGTTTTATACGTCAATTTTTCGGTATTAATCTTTAGTAGTTTTGTCATAAAACAAACAAACTAAACGTAATTACAAAAAATTCTAACCATTTAGGAATAACAAATGGTATCGCATGTAAGAATCGCAAATAATGTATCGTTTTGAAAAACAAAATCGCCCTAGTCGATTTTGTGTGATTAAAAATAAAAACTTCAGAAGATTCCATGAACATTTGTTTTGTACGAAAAGCTTACACTTTAGTTTGTTTGTTTATTTTTGAATTTTGCGCAAAGCTACACGGGGGCTATCTGCGCTAGCCGTCCCTAATTTAGCAGTGTAAGTCTAGAGGGAAGGCAGCTAGTCATCACCACCCACCGCCAACTGTTGGGCTACTATTTTACCAACGAATAGTGGGATTGACCGACACATTATAACGACCCCACGGCTAAAAGGGCGAGCATGTTTGGCGGGACGGGGATTCGAACCCGCGACCCTCAGATTGCGAGTCGAGCGCCCTAACCACCTGGCCATGTTACACTTTAGTATTATCCCCCAGTAGCAGAGTGGTATGTCCGCGGACTTATACTGCTAGAAACCGGGTTTCGATACTCGAGGTGGGCACGTATAGCCCACTGTGTATTGTATTTAACTACAAATACTTTAGTATTTTATTCTAAATTTTTTTAACTCTACGATTGACACATTAAAATTTGGGTGGCATAATGTGTTTCAAATGGGGCAATGTATTTGATAAACTATAAATACCACATTTATTGGAAAGCAGCTTGGCATAGCTTGATGGTTGTATCGCAATCTGTGGGTCGGGGATCAAACTCCCTTAGCAAGCATACTCGCTCTTTCAGCCGTGGAGAATTTACAATGTCGTCAATCCCACTATTTAAGAGTTGGCGATGGGTAATGTTGACTAGCTGTTTCCCGCCACTTTAAAATTAGGGACAGTTAGCGCAGATACCCCTCGATTAGCTTTTCCTCGAACATCAACAAACAAGGATATTATTGAAAAGCTTTGATATTCTTCAGAAGATCGAGACGTCTGATATATATACATTCCAACATTTTAAATTACAATTTAATGAAAGTTTTTGACATAATGAATTGGATTTTTGTTTATTGAGGAGGTAAATGGAATAGTACACAAGGAACATGCTTTATAGAAGTTTGTCTCTTAAGTGAGTGTTGGTTGAACTTATAGATATATGAGTTTAGTTCCTCAATAAACTATTTGTAGTGCATGTGTTGTGTACCTCAATTTTATCATTTTATTGTTGATAATGTTACAAAGGTTTAGCAGTTCATCCTAATGATTACTGTCATGAGTCACAGAATAAATCACAATTAATGTATAGTACAACTTTATAAGCGTCACCTACAATCAAATTATAAACTAACATATGATTTTCACAAATATTGAACAGGTACATAGTGTCTAAAAAGGCTTATATCCAGGATAACGAGCTGGACAAAATAAACTTAAGATGAACCCAAGTCTAGGGATGTTGAGGACAAAAGTTGATTATTTCATAAACGCAAACTGTAAAGCTATATATGTTATTTATTGTGTCTTGTCAGTGTTTTTTTTATATTCAGAGTTCCTGTTCTGAAGAGACTTTGGCCTCTGGTAATAAAGGAAGACAGGTGTTCACAAAGACAGGCTATTACAAGGTAAAAGAAGGAAAAGTAACTATTGCAATCACTAAACGTTCGTGATTTCATAACCTCTATGTATATTTCTATAGAGCAGTTAACATAAAATAATGTTGCTAAAACTAAAAATCTCCAAAGTAACCCAGTCAAATAATTAAACTTTTTTTCGTGTATTCTTCATGTATATGTATTGTTAATAAGTGCTTATTTATGTGGTCCAATCAATGTAGAACTCGAATTAAAATAGGGAAATATACGATACAAACTTTATTTGGTGACACTTTTTGTTTTTAAACCTTCTATCTGACTTAAATGAACAAAAATATAAATATATATGTTCAAAAAGTAAAATATTGTGTAACCGCTAAATATACTAAAACTTGTATGTATTAAAGGAAATGAATTAGTTAAATCTCATAGACATTAAAATCCATGCAGTCAAATCTCATAGACATTAAAATCCATGCAGTTAAATCTCATAGACATTAAAATCCATGCAATTAAATCTCATAGATATTAAAATCCATGCAATTAAATTTCATAGATATTAAAATCCATGCAATTAAATCTCATAGACATTAAAATCCATGCAATTAAATCTCATAGACTTTAAAATCCATGCAATTAAATCTCATAGACATTAAAACCCATGCAGTTAAATCCCGTAGACATTAAAATCCATGCAATTAAATCTCATAAACATTAAAATCCATGCAGTTAAATCTCATAGATATTAAAATCCATGCAGTTAAATCTCATAAACATTAAAAGCCATACAGTTATGAATTAAATGTTGTTGAGTTCACATAGTTTGTGTAAATATTAGAATTTATTGACAATGTGTATCAAACTAAGAAGAGACTTACCCACCTACATATTATTTTACATCATTTGGATAGACATTTCTCTTGTGTTTAAAATAATATCCCGTACTAAAGCATTCAGTTATACTTACGAGGAAAACCCATTTTAAGATTGTTGAACTCTTTAACTGCCGTAGACGTACAGATATATATCCCCATCTAAAGCACTGTGAAGGGCACGTATATATGTAACCCACTATATAACCTTTGTTTTAACTTTGAAAACTTTGATATTAATCACATGTTAGTTTGGAAATGTGCAACATCTTCAAACTTTGATAAGTTTACTAGTTTCAAATTGCAAATAATTAATGAACGATAAAACCAATCTTGTTCGTTTTTATCCTGTAATTTAAAATTAAACATATTGGTGATGAAATGACTTGTCTCAAAGCCTCTTTTTCTTGCGGTTAGGGAGCCATTGTTGCCATCAAGCCTCTTATCAAGTCAAGAATAGAAATCCACAGACCCCTACTGTTGGAGTTGAAACGAGTAAGATTACTCTGTTTCTGACAGTGATAATTATTTTTCATTAGTGACTGAAGATTTTATACAGATCGTACCAACTTATACAGAAGGTTGGGTACGTTTTTTAAAACGATTTTGACTATTATAATCAATATAAAATCGTGGTGGAAAGAAATGCACCTGAACTACATTTTGACATTGTTTGGCATGATGTAAGTGGTGCAAGACCACAGAAAATTGGATATATTTGGGAAGGGTGTGTAATAGCCCTTTCCGATGGAAGGTATATATATGCATCCACATCATAAAGAGGTGTTCAGATCAGAGATTTAGGATTTCCTTATAGTTAATGCAAAACAAAAGAATATGAATTACAAGAACCACTCAGAAAAATATCCGCAGCAAGTCGTAATCCAGCGATGATAAACAAAGTTCGGCGTTATGTCATAATATAGTTCTGATACATGTAGTTCCACCACAATTTTATTTTGGCTGTGGTTGTCACACACTTGCTGGTTTACATATTCAAAATTATTTTAATTTAACATACTCAACACTCTATAACCTCGACATTTTATTACTCGTTATCCGGTGGGTTAGTAGTACAAGTTCACGGACTTACAACGCTAAAATTTGGGGTTGGATTCCCCGTGGTGGACAGAGCGCAGATAGTCCATTGTGTAGCTCTGAGCTAAACAATAAATCTTTTTATGTTTATATTTTCTGTGAATAAGATATTATACAACATTAATTATTTTGGTAACTCGCACGGAAATGATCACAAGACTTCAAATAAAATGCAATTGGCAATGCTATTTCTTTTAGCATAAAGCTACACAATGGGCTATCTGTGCTATATCTGTTACGATGATCGAGCCCAAAATTTCAGCGTTATAATATATAAAGCTTATTGCTGAATAACAGAGGGAGAAAGGAAACGTGTAGCTTACTCGTTCTATCGACTTACATCTTTTGTGGAAGCTTGTTTGTAATTAAGCACAAAGCTACACAATGGGCTATCTGTGCTCTGCCCACCACGGGTATCGAAACCTGGATTCTAGCGTTGTAAGTCCGCAGACATACCGCTGTGCCACTGGGGGGCTTTGTGGAAGTAACCTGTACAAACGTTCCGTGTTTAATCAACCAGGAGTATTTTTATAGAGTTCTGTCGAAGAAGGTTTGAAGTAAAAAAGTGAATAATTATAACATTTTCTTCTGAGTTCTGAAGCCTCATTGTTGTTCTCATATTGTATATTGTATCATTTCATTTCAAACAACACTACACCGATTAAACAAATATGAACGTTTAAGATCTCGCTTGTAGCACTGGTGACGTGTCGTGATAGGCTTACAAAAAAGTTAAAGAGTTATCGAATCATCCGTCAGATGTTTGAAAAAGAGTTTGATTAGTTTTACAGTTAAGTTAATTGTACTGATAGTATTGAGATGTAAAGTTGTGGGAAGTGATTATTTATCAGTCAAATGAAGTACGTTTAATAAGATGTGTAGACTTGGTGCTGCTATAGCATTACCAACTTAAATCTTGTGTTGCTCGTTTAGATGAAAGATTTACAAAATGACCATATTGTTCGATTCATCGGAGCATGCGTAGAACCACCACATTGCTGTATTGTCACTGAATATTGTCCCAAAGGAAGTTTACAGGTTAGTGGACGATGCTGTTTACAGGTTAGTGGACGATGCTGTTTACAGGTTAGTGGACGATGCTGTTTTCAACAAATTTGGAATTATGATTTTTTTTAAATATTTTAACACAATTTCTTGACGGTTCTATATTGCAAAATTTGCTTATAGGTATATATAACTAAATATGTATAACCTTGAAGGAAAAACAGGAGAAATATATTCATAAAACTCCATTTTCTCTGCAAAATTTGCTTTTGACATGAACTCAATATTTTTCATTAGCAGTGTTGTTCGAAAACAAAATCACTATACTAAATTTCTTGAAAATATTGTTTAGATTGTAAACAACAGCTAAATAAACACATCAAAATATGCATGTATACATAGAAAGTGGAGTTTTATGAACATATTTTTGCTGTTTTTCCTTCAAGGTTATATATGTGTAGTTATATATACCTATAAGCAAATTTTGCATAGAAAGTGGAGTTTTATGAACATATTTTTGCTGTTTTTCCTTCAAAGTTATTTATGTTTAGAACATCCGGTTGAACGTACTGCCTATCTTGCGAAACATATATGAATATTATAGGTGTGTTTTTCCAATTATAAATACACAATACATCTGATTATTCATAAATTATAAAAAATACTAAAAATATATTATACAAAAACTTTTGCAGTCGTTGGTTGACCCTGTTGTAGAGCTCGGGATTTCAGAGCTGGCGAGCTGGGTTCGAATTCCCGCGATAACACAATGTATTCCCCACACTTTAAGCTGTTGGTTGCGTTATAAGAAAGTCAGACAATCCATTAGTGTGAATAATGGGTGATAGGGGGCTGTTAATCTTTTTCTATAAAAAATTAACTTTCCTAAAGATATCTGACAACAACTTATATGGTGAATAAACTATAGTTCGCCTTTGTTTCTTTTTTAAGCAACTAAGATATTTGTTTACAAACAATCAAGATTTTTGTTTACAAATATTTACTGTATGGTAAAATACAAGGTTTTTTTGTTCATAGATGAGTAATGCTTAAAACCATATTTGAAATTCCGAAAGCCGAATCATTTTGGAGCTTGTTACGGCCTGGTGATCCGGGAACTCGAATCCCTTTCATCGAACATGCCTACTCTTTTAGCCGTGTGTGCGTTTACGAGTCAAGCGCTCTAGCTACCTAGCCATGTTATCAAGAAGAGTGTATAATACTATTTCAACCAGCGTCGTTGGAAATGGATATGGAGGACATAGTGTGGTTGAAGCACAATTATACACTTTTCTTATTTTGATAAACCCTTTAGTCATTCCATTAGGGCTTATCAAGAAGAAGAGTGTATAATACTATTTCAACCAGCATCATTGGAAATGGATATGGATGACATAGTATGATTGGAGTACTATTATACACTTTTCTTGTTCTTGATAAACCCTAACTGTTGTATTATTTTTTTAATAGAGTTCTTTTTTTTTCAGAATAAGTTTATTCGGACTTGAAAAACTGCGATTTTGAATATAGTCGTTAAGCTGAAATATTTATTTCATTAGCCTTTCGATTACCAAGGTAGCTGCATTACGTATCCAAACGTATATTACAATATTATTCTATTTTATTAGCATAGCTTCATTTTGGTCCTGCGACTTATAATAATTAATTACAAATTAATCGTTAGGATATTTTCCCACGCAAAAAAGCTAGATGTATTGGTTAAAACAGTAAAATAAGACATGCTTAAATCGTGTCGATTATATACGTCTTTCCAGTAACTTGGTAAGAGAAGGGTTTAACACGTTACATGAATACAGAATAAACATGCATCAATTTTAAAAACAACTCTGGCAGAAAGTTAAAATAATTAATATATATTTAAATAGTTGGCTCACGTTGAATAAGGCCTGACATGGCCAGATGGTTAGGGCGCTCGACTCGCAATCTGATGGTCCCTAGTTCGAATCTCCGTCCCACGAAACATGGTCGCCCTTTCAGTCGTGGGAGCGTTATAATGTGACGGTCAATTCGTTGGTAAAACAGTAGGACAAGAGTCGGCGGTGGGTGGTCATGACTTCCCTCTAGTCTTTCACTGCTACATTAGTGACGGCTAGCGCATATAGATCTCTTTCATCGAAATTCAAAACAAACCATATTGATATAAAGATTGGAACATAGATCAGTTATTTTTTTTTGGTTCAAATACTCTATCAAACCGCATTTTTACAAGCTTACCTTTCCTTATAAAATTTTAATTAAAAAAAAGAGTTCGTATATTTATTCTAGAATCTTTGTTATTCTCCGAATTCTTTTTATATCCACATGCAAAAAAAAAAATATGTAAAAACAAAGATTGTCAATGGTGATTTCAAATTCGGGCTAAATTAAATGAATATGATTATAATAATAATGACGTTAGAAATATATTACTTAAAACAGCATTGTGTATCACAGTGAACATTAACTTGTTGACATCTTGAAATTAAAAGGAAGCTTATTTTAAAGTTTTCCCCGAATATATATCCAAAATCAAATGTTTTATTACTAAGATCGTGATTCTTTAGTTTTTTTAGATCATTCCAAGAATACTGTTGTAAAGCTTTATCAGGATCACAATAATGACTCTTTATATTGTTTAGGATTTGTATAGCTATCAAGAATCCTGTGAAGCTTTTTCAGAATCCACAATAATGACTCTTTGTATTGTTTAGAATTTGTATCAAGAATCCTGTAAAGCTTTGTTATAATCCACAATAATGACTCTTTGCATTTTTTAGGATTTGTAAAGCTATTAATTAGGGTTTCAGATACTTCTTAGTGCCAATACAACAGAGCACTTTTAATGTTTAATGTTACTTCATACTGGAGAAAAGTAAATTAGGAAATTTTAAGAAACTTAACAAAACTATATTGAGTCTCTTCGTCATAAGATTGTATGTCTATAATTGTCTTTCTGCTTATTAATTCGTCTCTCTTCTTTATTTACTTTTTTATCAAGACACCTTAAACACCTGGTAAAATGAAATAAAAAGACAAACCCCGAGAGTAAATAGCAAGATAATTACAGAGACAACACCATATCATCCAACATCAAATGTCTTTCTAAAAACACAAATAAACTGCAAAGACCAGAGAGTTAATGAGCATCAAACCACTTAAATGTCCAATAGGAAGGAAAAACGTCATTTATAGCATATCTTGTGAATGTGGAGAGCAATACGTTAGAAAAAGAAAAACAAGAAAAAGTCATAAGGTACCGAACCAAAAAGTAACGTAGGTGTGGGTTATAAATAGTAATTGATTACCTTTCTACAAGTTGGCTGACGTTGAGCAAACTTACTATTTAGCAGATGTCTCATTGACTCTTTTAACTTTCGACCTTATACATAAAATCATTTATTTATTCATCATAACTTCAGTTGCCAGAGAGCATAGAATTATTTCGAAGTAGATATCTTGTCGAATCTGTGTGTAATTGGTCTTACTAAAAAATATCACATGTGTATGGTTTCAAGAGAGGTATTCAGGTTTTACTGACTTCTAAGCTACATTGACTTAGTGTGTTATCAGTTGAATAAAGAAGGCTCCTTTTATCATTGTTTCTGGCGTGTTATTTTAGTGTTACATTCTTTTATTATACTATCTTTTACCTTGACATGTTGAGTTACTGTCGACAGATTGTCATTGCAGAGCCTTGTATGTCTATTGCGCTCTCAAATCTTTCTTTGCTTTATGTGTGCAAATATTACAATAAGAAAATATTTCCTCCACTTTTGTATCATATTCACTTGAAGCATCAATGAATAACTGAATTTCTTGCACAATCAAATAATCACAATCTGAGATATATCTTATTACTTTATTTTTCTAGTGTATCTTATGTTTACCAATGAAGCATACACCTATTGTTGGTGACACTAATAGTATAGAAGACGGATATGAAATGTGTTTACCCTAAACATGAGATTTAGCGTATTTTAGATAAAGAAAAGCATAACCAAAGATATCCAATTGCAGATAAATGGGTAAGGCCAGAAAATACACGTCCAAGCAACCGAAATGTTAACTTGTTGGTGTTGAAGCGCTTTCAAACACTGACTGTTGACTGAGCTATGTGGAGTTTCAGAATATGAGAAAGATATACTTTTGTTACTTATTAATGTGATTTAAAGTTAAAATATCGTGTAAATGATAAAAGTATTTCATGTTAATCTGGGTTATTTCGAAACCAAAATTAGTTAAACACATAGAAATATACAAAAAAATAAATTAAGTAACAAAGCGAACGAAGTAGTCAGAGTCTAATTAATGGAAGGATATATGTTAAAAAGAAAGTATTTTAATGTTTAGAACCAACATTTATAAACGTTAACTGATACAAATATATGAATTAAATAGAAAATATTAAGTGTTTAGGCACAACAATTATAAACATTAATTGATACAAGGTTATGAGTTAAAAATAAAGTATTGTATGTTTAAAACCAACACTTATAAACGTTAACTGATACAAATATATGAATTAAATAGAAAATATTAAGTGTTTAGACACAACAATTATAAACATTAATTGATACAAGGTTATGAGTTAAAAATAAAGTATTGTATGTTTAAAACCAACACTTATAAACGTTAACTGATACAAGGTTATGAGTTAATAATAAATTATTGTATGTTTAAATTAAAAATTACAAAGAGTAATTAATTCATTCAAAGTTAAGCGTTGAGGAGAAAATTTTTAAATGGTTGAAACCGACAAATATTAATTACAAGGTTAAAGGTTAATGAGTACTATTTATTAATTATACTTGTCATAAGATATAAGTATTGAGTTTATTATATCTTTATTCAGACCCTTGAGATTTTTTTTCAGAAGAATAGTGTATAATAAAATTTCAATCACACTATGTACACCACAGCCATTCGATGTTAAAAATTATAAAAGGCCTAATACTAAACGTCTTATGACAAATAAGTAATTAATACTGTAACAACTGTTGTTGTAACAAATGGCTTACATAAATAGTGTTCCGATCATAATGTGTTATATCCCATTCTTTTAACTTTATTATCACACCCGGCCTGATGAACTCTTATTGAACGAAATTCGTTTTCGGCAATAAAAATGGTGGACAGAGTGTGGTTGAAATACTAAATAAAGAATGTAGTGTTAAAGATATAGTGGGCCTAATACTAAAGTTTTATGACAGGTATAATTAATTATAATCATGCTTTGCTAGCTTAAAAAGGCATTCACACTGTAACAATTGTTGTAGTAGCATTAATTGTTTAAAACAAACAATCCCAAACATCAATTGGTAGAACATTATAGAATAAATATTTAAATACAACAATCATATTTTTCATTTTTGATATTTTATAAACTGGTATATCTATATAAATAGAATAGTACTGTCTGTTGTGTGTTGTATGTCCATGTAAGTACTTCGCAGGGCATAAGATGGATCTTCACCTAAACTGGTTATGGAGGTTCATTTAGGTCCATGCGGAGGTACATTCAACTTTTCAGTTTTTCATTTTGCGTTTTGCTGTTTTTATGGACGTTTTTGCGTGTGTTTTTTTTTTACCATTACTTCGCTCCCCTGTATACGAATCTTTACCAAATTTGGTTTCGAGGTTCATTGTGTTTAGTGGGAGATCATACAAATTTTCTGTTTTGCGGTTTTATGGGAATTTTTGTGTTTTTTTACCACTACCTCACCTCCTGAGGTTCAGTGGGTTCATGGGGAGATACGTGCAAATTTGCGGTTTCACATTTTGTGTTTTGCAGTTTTTTATAGGCGTTTTTGTTTTTTTACAATTGCATATAAGGGAAGCGACTTTTCATGTCATAGGATAACCTTTCATTAATCATGAATTCACATAACATCCGTCCAGGGGACAGGTACTCCAGCTAGTTTTAAATAAAGTATAATGTTGTTTTTCATAATCTTAGTGCATACTGGAGAGATTTAGACATTTTGACAATAAAGTTAGAAAAATAAATTACCTTTATCATTACCTGGAGGGTAAAGCTTGTTTCTTTTTCTAAATTTATTGTAAAAATTTTTAAATAGAGTACGTTGGTTATGAGCCCTTCTGTTAAAATTTTAAGTTGTTTCATTTATTACATCCCCGTGTTATTTTTTAGCACGATTTTACCGAAACAAAACATAATTTACACGAGGAAAGTTGCTTAGTTTTAGGTTAGGCATGGACACTCAAAGAATGGTAATATTTTTGTGTGTTGTCAACCTCCAACCAATTCTATTCATTTTTCATGCAGCACAGTGCTTTAGATTTATATCAATAAAAATCCCTTCTAAAATTCTGTACAAACAGCTAACCACTCCGATTTCTACGATCAACACATAGGTTCGGTTTTTTAAAAAATCTACGTACCTCAAAAGGTAAAGATGAGTGAGATAAAAACAGAAAGAGGAAACATGTGTGAATACACCGTAGGGTAAACACATTTCATATCCGTCTTCTATACTATCAGTGTCATCAACAATAGGTGTATGCTCTATTGATGAATATAAAAGACACTAGGAAAATATTGGAATGAGATATAGCTCAGACTGTGAATATTTCTTCACTTAGATAATGTTTCCTAAATCAGTTTTGACTTTATTATAAGGAAGGACATCTCAATATACGATTAATATAATAATTTCGAACCCAAAGTTTAATGAAATATTATTGCTAATTCTTTACGGAGTAATCCAAGTAAGTGAACAATGAAGTGAGTGACTTTCAGATGACAAGGTTGCCAATTAATGTATCAGCTCAATAATATAATATTGTACGTTATATTTATATATATATTCTGCTTATTTGATATATTATTAGCGAGGATATAACCATCCTGAGATAGATGGATAAATTGTTTTAATGTAATTAGTGAATAATTCTATTGAAATCTATGAATTTGTGTCTTCTTCGTTGTCCAGTTTAGCAGTGTATTTCAAAGTATATTAACCATATTAGCAGTGTGTTTCAAAGTATATTAAGCATACACTTCAAAATGGAGGATATCAAGTGAAATTCTGCTCGGTGGAAAATATATGGCTTTCTGTCTTGGAATTTTAAACATGTTAATTTAAACGGCAACTAGAATTGCTCTTATTGTACCTGAAAATTGAAACTGTGAAATGTAATATTCACGTTAATGTCGTTTTCAAATTGATATCGACAAATGAAAAACGTTCAAGTCACTGGTTTAATTCTCTAACGTACACAGAGAGCAATATAAGATCTAACAAGATGAATTTAACCATTGTGCAACAAAGAATATAAGTTCTTTCTTTTTAATATCTATAAATCTATTAAACTTCACAAATGTTAGGATCAGATCTAAAACCTAAAATCAGGTTTACTTTTGTAAACAGTGAAAGTGTGAAACACTAATAGTTTTTATTATGTGATTATTAAGTTTTGCAATTTTTGAACTGGAGACATACAGTTAGTTTTTTTTAAAGAAACTCTGGAGTTGTTCGATTAGCTTAACTCATATGTAACTGGTATTCTTAGGATATACTGGAAAATGAAGAGATAAAGCTGGATTGGATGTTCCGATGCTCTTTACTACAAGACACTGTAAAAGTAGGTAGTCTCATAAATAATAATAATATAAGAACCAAGAAAAGAAAAACAATATATGCATATGTTTTAGTAAATTATTTTCAAAATTATCAATGAGTATCAATTCTATTGTGTTTCAGATATACACTGGTTTTGAAAATCATACTTCCTCTGCCTTTTCCCCACTAACTTTATGCAACTATCCATAAATATATTTCTAAGCATCCAGCTAAGCCATTTTTTTATTTGTTTAAGTATGTATATCCACCGATCTTTTTACTAGTTTATCTTTGTGTGTTTTTATTTGTTATATCAATTATATTGTGTTTTAGATATACACTGGTTTTGAAAATCATACTTCCTCTGCCTTTTCCCCACTAACTTTACGCAACTATCCATAAATACATTTCTAAGCATCCAGCTAAGCCATTTTTTTATTTGTTTAAGTATGTATATCCGCCGATCTTTTTACTAGTTTATCTTTGTGTGTTTTTATTTGTTATGTCAGTTCTATTGTGTTTTAGATATACACCAGATTTGAAAATCATACTTTCCCCTGTTTTGTAATAATCTTGAAGTAACGTTTCACGTCATCAGGGTTTTTCGCAGAGCTTACTAGTTTATCTTTGTGTGTTTTTATTTGTTATGTCAGTTCTATTGTGTTTTAGATATACACTAGATTTGAAAATCATACTTTCCCCTGCCTTGTAATAATCTTGAAGTAACGTTTCACGTCATCAGGGTTTTTCGCAGAGCTTACTAGTTTATCTTTGTGTGTTTTTATTTGTTATGTCAGTTCTATTGTGTTTTAGATATACACTAGATTTGAAAATCATACTTTCCCCTGCCTTGTAATAATCTTGAAGTAACGTTTCACGTCATCAGGGTTTTTCGCAGAGCAGCCATACTAACGTTTCCCATATAACTTTAGCAGTTATCCATAAATCGGTATATATTTTCCAAGCACGCACACTTAAGCGACCTGAAATACAAATTGAAACAAAAAGTAAGTTTGTAGCAGTTTAATAATTTATGAATTATAACGGGTGACGGGGATGGCACTAAGCTTGGGTATAAATGTATAACTGGTACTACAACCGCACTATCTACAGTTTTGACACTTAGTACAGGTATACAAGACATATACGAAATACATCTGTGAAGAAACGGCCCGAGGTTGCACTGAAAGATGACCACGAACCACAGTAACCTTTATTTCATCTTCAAATATAGCAATAGTATCAAATCGAGATACATCCAATGTTCAATATATTCTCCGTTCATTTCAGCCACATACATCATTTATTGCTGAATCCGTGTTTTTTGCTGTAAAGTTAGAATTGGATAGTTGTAAACATCCTACTAATCGGTAAGTAACGATTGAACTCTGACTCCAAGGATAGTTGTAAACATCCTACTAATCGGTAAGTAAACGATTGAACTCTGACTTCAAGGACAGTTGTAAACATCCTACTAATCGGTAAGTAACGATTGAACTCTGACTCCAAGGATAGTTGTAAACATCCTACTAATCGGTAAGTAAACGATTGAACTCTGACTTCAAGGATAGTTGTAAACATCCTTACTAATCGGTAAGTAAACGACTGAACTCTGACTTCAAGGATAGTGTAAACATCCTACTAATCGGTAAGTAAACGATGAACTCTG